AAGGAACATAACGAGCTCCTCTCCAAGCAGTTTCTGCTGGGATGTTTTCGCAGAAACCACCCCTGTAGTCGCCTGCTTGTAGCGGAGCTGCCTCCTAGGAACATCAAGAGGTCCTTCCTTGACTACGTCGACGACATTAGACAGTACGCCGACCAGACTTCGGACGCAACTAACTTCAGACAGCACTGACCGCCATTCACAGTGGAGCCATTAAAACCTTCACCGACTCCCTCTCAGTGAATGGCTAATACGAGTCAAATCACCCCCATTGCAGACACAGAGCTCGAGTTGCCTCGCGAATATACAGGTGGATTAGAGCGAGATGGAATGCTTAAGTACATGCAGGACCGCTAAGATCAAGTGCAAGAGCCCTGTAGAAAAACTTGCAAGATCTCGAAAGGACTGCCGGACGGTTGTTGGCCTCTTGACAGGTCACATCATCATGCGAGACGGATGTGCATAAGTAACTAGAAGTGGGCATGAGGGAGACGCTGGAACACCTCATATGCCTCTGTCCACCACTATCTAGAATTCGTCTTAAATATCTAGGAGCTTCGCAGTTTAAACTGGACGGAGATCAAATTTAGATAACATCGCTTTGAAAGTTCGCAAAAAGTGTTGACGTCCTGTATGACGAATACTTCACTGGCAGGCAGAATGGCGTGACATCTGGCCATTTTAACCTAACCTAACCTGATGTTTACTTTTAATGAACTATTTTTTATTTGCATCCTCCGAGATCTCAAAATACCGTTTTACTCAAACATATTCCTTTGATAGATAGGTAGTAAAGTCAACAAATTGTTTTCAAGAATCATCCCTTAATTGATACACTTTTTCGTATGTAATTGTTTTTGTTGCACACACTTGCATAAATTATTTAATTCGTAAATAATACAAGCGTTTAGAGAAAAAACGTTTATCTAATTGGCTAATAGGTAATTACACAATTACATTTGTAGTAAACAAATAAGTTAATACCTTCGCAATGTAGGGGTCAATTAAGTTCCTACGCAAATCCTCTTTCGCAATTACACGTTAACGTAAATAAAAAGTGTTCATCGATTATATAATACTTTTTCTTAAGTAATCGCTAAGCTTTAGTATGCAAAAGTCAGTTTTATCTGTTCTAAAGAGTATCTTAACTAGCTTTGGAGGATAGATCATTGTGATCGTCCGTTTAGATATAATCATGTATTTCATATAATTCTGTAAACGGGTGTTCCTTGTCCCATTTAAGTATAACCACTTCTTCCGAAATTCTTAACTTTGTTTTTAAATACGAGAATGTCGAGCAAGCAAATAACTGCACCAATATTGCAACCCGCCGAGATGATTCTTAATATAATCAATGCAAATATTTTTTGCGGCATTCATTTGAGAAGTGGAAATCTAAAATTGATTTTTGGCGGAGAAAGACATTTAAAGTAATATATTTTGCTTTAGTATTCGAGTATGTACTTGAAACACAATAAATTATATTATTTTTTATAAACTAAAATAAACACCGATTTCGGCTACGTTTCTTCTTCCATTAAAAACTTTGCTGATGTCGATTTTGTGAATTTTGAGCTCAAAAATGTCAAAATTTAATGCTTGAACGCATGTTGCAACACGCTTTGCTATATTGCCGCAGTGATTAAGACTCGAACATCTCCTACGTGTGCAAGCTATACCTTACAAATAAATACAAAATAATTCAATAGGTAAATTTATATATTGACAAACCGTAAATTAACATATTCAGATTTTGTAATTAATTACGAATATCAATGCAGTAGTAAGCGAATGCATATAAATAGCATAATCTAGGGTATATGTATGTATAAATAAACAGATAATGAACAAAAGACAAATATTGACGTGACAAATTCATACAAACACAGACCTAAAATAATGCGGGGTTACGCCCACATTAAACAAAGACAAAGTCTAGACTACATAAATACAGGTATTAAACAATATAAGAAACTTCAATTTCCAACTCAGCTAGCAGCATGTCGAATGCGAAGACGGATGAAACGAATGTGTAAGGTTTGGAGTGTATGACTCCGTAATCAGGCTCGAGGCTAGGTAATGAATTGTTGGGAAATTGTTGTGTTTTTGTGCACGTACTGATCCAACAGGTTTACGCAGATTTTGATTCATCCTCTCTTTTCGCGCCACCAGCTTTTTAGTCTCACGTACCACATATATAGCTTCTGAAGTGGTCATGTACTCGCGAATAATCTAAGTGGTGTAAATATAATTGAGTTAATTAGGAAATAATTACTTTTTACCAATTTATGCTGAACTTACGAGGCGTTTATATGGACAGTGAGCAAAAAGCCAAATTAGGGTACACAAAGTGTTGAAAATTTCACTATCCTTGTCACACCAACGTAACAGCATTTGGGCTATAGTAACAAGTCCGCTCTCCTGGAAAGTATTAGCTGTGGTGCTGTTATAACGCGCCAAGTTCAAAATAATTCGACTACAGTAACGAATTAGTTGTTATCGACCTCACTCGGATTGTCTGTGCCATGACGCCATAGCAGAAAGTCGATACGAAGTCAGACTGATTCATAAGAATGTGCGGCACAGTACGAGAAATACGATCTAAAATATACATACGCATTATTTAATTAAAATATCGTTTTCTTGTTCGAATAGAAAACGAGTTGGATTCACTCAATAGGAGAATGAATTTGAATTATTCTTCCATTGTGTATTTCAATAGTAAATACGAAGTAATTAGAGTGTTCCAGAAAAAAATACTATTTCGAACTTCGTGCAGTCAAACTTACCCAAACATATGAGAACATGTAGTATTTCCGATGCGCTTGAATGATCGCGAAGAACACATACCGCATGCGAAATTTTGTGACTGAGCGTGTTCGCTGCTTGAGTTGTTTTCTTCCACAGCGCCATTGTTCGACGAATCAAACGCATTTGCATGCTCTGGAAGCACTTACGTACACGATAACCGCGCCAGAACCGCTGTATCGCACTGGCCGCTCTTCTCCGACGACGTTCCTCCACCATTTCAGGTGTCATCAGATTTTGTAGGCGGCAGCGTGCAAGTAGTCCACGCGCTTGGGATTGCAATCCAATAGCAGTGTTACGTAATTGCAAATATTTTAAACGTTGCCGTTGAGTTTTTGTTTACCACGGAACTTCTGCTGCAAATGTATGACTATGCGGCGACAAAAGGAATTCGGAGCGCTGTTGGTGCATTATACGAAGACCACGATACTTTGCTGTAAATAAATTGTGTTGCGACGCAGTAACAAGAAGTCGTTTCTGCAACATGCATGCTGCGTTGTGCGCGGTATTTTCGTTGCATACAAACGACTAACCGACGCATGAGTAGATACTGTGCACGTATTACTAAAGATTCGCGATAAGATCGGAGAACTGTTGTATGTGGCATGCAGCGTACGTTTACATCGGAAGTCAGCGTGTTCTTTCCGCATCACCAAGGTGGCTCGCCAACGACGCTGTATGAAATAAATACATAATATTGTTTTGATATTGTTGTCGGACACGACGACCTGCTGCAGTGCCCGCATCTGCGCTGCACACAAATGCAACAATTTCGCAAGCGGATATACGATTGCTGTTGTTGTCGTGTCCGCTCATGGAGCGGTACCAGTTCTGAATACATGTAATGGCGTTTCTTTTTGCTGGTACGATATTCGCGTCAATCGCATTTCAATTGTTGCACGGAAATGTCGCTGTATCTGTATAAATTTGTTACGATCACTATGGTACTTCGAAACACATGGTGCATAATTTGGAGGCTACGGTATCTGTGTTGCACTTTGACTACGGCTGCCTTCAGTTGTGCATATTCCGTGCGCTGTTGCTCATGAGACGTGTGGCACGGAAGCGTTGTGCATCACGGTAGCAAAGTATTGTATCGTCAAGAAGTCGACACGCGTCCGACGCGCTAAAATCGTGGCGCGCCATTTGCGCTGTATGATAATGCAACTGTTTCGTATGCGCTGATAATTTCTTTTTCCAATTTCATCATTTGAGCAGCCCGATATCTCTCTTGCATTTGCAGACATTTTTACGCAACACTTGGTAAGCCCGGCGATCTTGGTGCATCATTAAAGTAGCGCGGATGTGAGTTTGAATGATATGCACAGCTTTGAGCTTCACTTTATAATCATCGCGCACTGCGCGCATATATCTCTCTCTAGTCGATGGCACAAAAATTCCGACAGTAAACAACCCTAAAATTTTAGGCGTCACTTTGGACAGTCTGCCAACTGCCAAAGTACAGAGCCGCAACAAAATCCTCAAGTCGCTTGCCGGCAGCTCATGGGGAAAAGACAAAGAAACGTTGTTGGCAACATACAAGGCAATCGGCCGGCCGGTCCTTAATTATGCAGCCGCAATATGGTCGCCTGGATGCAGTGACACGCAGAAGAAGAAGCTTCAGACTTGTCAGAACACTGCACTCCGGACTATCACTGGATGCCTCTTGATGTCTCCTATCGAACACCTACATAGTGAGGCCCGTATGCTTCCGGTCAAGGAACATAACGAGCTCCTCTCCAAGCAGTTTCTGCTGGGATGTTTTCGCAGAAACCACCCCTGTAGTCGCCTGCTTGTAGCGGAGCTGCCTCCTAGGAACATCAAGAGGTCCTTCCTTGACTACGTCGACGACATTAGACAGTACGCCGACCAGACTTCGGACGCAACTAACTTCAGACAGGCACTGACCGCCATTCACAGTGGAGCCATTAAAACCTTCACCGACTCCCTCTCAGTGAATGGCGTAATACGAGTCAAATCACCCCCCATTGCAGACACAGAGCTCGAGTTGCCTCGCGAATATACAGGTGGATTAGAGCGAGATGGAATGCTTAAGTACATGCAGGACCGCTAAGATCAAGTGCAAGAGCCCTGTAGAAAAACTTGCAAGATCTCGAAAGGACTGCCGGACGGTTGTTGGCCTCTTGACAGGTCACATCATCATGCGAGACGGATGTGCATAAGTAACTAGAAGTGGGCATGAGGGAGACGCTGGAACACCTCATATGCCTCTGTCCACCACTATCTAGAATTCGTCTTAAATATCTAGGAGCTTCGCAGTTTAAACTGGACGGAGATCAAATTTAGATAACATCGCTTTGAAAGTTCGCAAAAAGTGTTGACGTCCTGTATGACGAATACTTCACTGGCAGGCAGAATGGCGTGACATCTGGCCATTTTAACCTAACCTAACCTGATGTTTACTTTTAATGAACTATTTTTTTATTTGCATCCTCCGAGATCTCAAAATACCGTTTTACTCAAACATAATTCCTTTGATAGATAGGTAGTAAAGTCAACAAATTGTTTTCAAGAATTCATCCCTTAATTGATACACTTTTTTCGTATGTAATTGTTTTTGTTGCACACACTTGCATAAATTATTTAATTCGTAAATAATACAAGCGTTTAGAGAAAAAAACGTTTATCTAATTGGCTAATAGGTAATTACACAATTACATTTGTAGTAAACAAATAAGTTAATACCTTCGCAATGTAGGGGTCAATTAAGTTCCTACGCAAATCCTCTTTTCGCAATTACACGTTAACGTAAATAAAAAGTGTTCATCGATTATATAATACTTTTTTCTTAAGTAATCGCTAAGCTTTAGTATGCAAAAAGTCAGTTTTATCTGTTCTAAAGAGTATCTTAACTAGCTTTTGGAGGATAGATCATTGTGATCGTCCGTTTAGATATAATCATGTATTTCATATAATTCTGTAAACGGGGTGTTCCTTGTCCCATTTAAGTATAACCACTTCTTCCGAAATTCTTAACTTTGTTTTTAAATACGAGAATGTTCGAGCAAGCAAATAACTGCACCAATATTGCAACCCCGCCGAGATGATTCTTAATATAATCAATGCAAATATTTTTTGCGGCATTCATTTGAGAAGTGGAAATCTAAAATTGATTTTTGGCGGAGAAAGACATTTAAAGTAATATATTTTGCTTTAGTATTCGAGTATGTACTTGAAACACAATAAATTATATTATTTTTTTATAAACTAAAATAAACACCGATTTCGGCTACGTTTCTTCTTCCATTAAAAACTTTGCTGATGTCGATTTTGTGAATTTTGAGCTCAAAAAATGTCAAAATTTGAATTGCTTGAACGCATGTTGCAACACGCTTTGCTATATTGCCGCAGTGATTAAGACTCGAACATCTCCTACGTGTGCAAGCTATACCTTACAAATAAAATACAAAATAATTTCAATAGGTAAATTTATATATTGACAAAACCGTAAATTAACATATTCAGATTTTGTAAATTAATTACGAATATCAATGCAGTAGTTAAGCGAATGCATATAAATAGCATAATCTAGGGTATATGTATGTATAAATAAACAGATAATGAACAAAGAACAAATATTGACGTGACAAATTCATACAAACACAGACCTAAAAATAATGCGGGGTTACGCCCACATTAAACAAAGACAAAGTCTAGACTACATAAATACAGGTATTAAACAATATTAAGAAACTTCAATTTCCAACTCAGCTAGCAGCATGTCGAATGCGAAGACGGATGAAACGAATGTGTAAGGTTTGGAGTGTATGACTCCGTAATCAGGCTCGAGGCTAGGTAATGAATTGTTGGGAAATTGTTGTGTTTTTTGTGCACGTACTGATCCAACAGGTTTACGCAGATTTTGATTCATCCTCTCTTTTCGCGCCACCAGCTTTTTAGTCTCACGTACCACATATATAGCTTCTGAAGTGGTCATGTACTCGCGAATAATCTAAGTGGTGTAAATATAATTGAGTTAATTAGGAAATAATTACATTTTTTACCAATTTAGTGCTGAACTTACGAGGCGTTTATATGGACAGTGAGCAAAAAGCCAAATTAGGGTACACAAAGTGTTGAAAATTTCACTATCCTTGTCACACCAACGTAACAGCATTTGGGCTATAGTAACAAGTCCGCTCTCCTGGAAAGTATTAGCTGTGGTGCTGTTATAACGCGCCAAGTTCAAAATAATTCGACTACAGTAACGAATTAGTTGTTTATCGACCTCACTTCGGATTGTCTGTGCCATGACGCCATAGCAGAAAGTCGATACGAAGTCAGACTGATTCATAAGAATGTGCGGCACAGTACGAGAAATACGATCTAAAATATACATACGCATTTATTTTAATTAAAATATCGTTTTCTTGTTCGAATAGAAAACGAGTTGGATTCACTCAATAGGAGAATGAATTTGAATTATTCTTCCATTGTGTATTTCAATAGTAAATACGAAGTAATTAGAGTGTTCCAGAAAAAAAATACTATTTCGAACTTCGTGCAGTCAAACTTACCCAAACATATGAGAACATGTAGTATTTCCGATGCGCTTGAATGATCGCGAAGAACACATACCGCATGCGAAATTTTGTGACTGAGCGTGTTCGCTGCTTGAGTTGTTTTCTTCCACAGCGCCATGTTTCGACGAATCAAACGCATTTGCATGCTCTGGAAGCACTTACGTACACGATAACCGCGCCAGAACCGCTGTATCGCACTGGCCGCTCTTCTCCGACGACGTTCCTCCACCATTTCAGGTGTCATCAGATTTTGTAGGCGGCAGCGTGCAAGTAGTCCACGCGCTTGGGATTGCAATCCAATAGCAGTGTTACGTAATTGCAAATATTTTAAACGTTGCCGTTGAGTTTTTTGTTTACCACGGAACTTCTGCTGCAAATGTATGACTATTCGGCGGACAAAAAGGAATTCGGAGCGCTGTTGGTGCATTATACGAAGACCACGATACTTTTGCTGTAAATAAATTGTTGTGCGACGCAGTAACAAGAAGTCGTTTCTTGCAACATGCATGCTGCGTTGTGCGCGGTATTTTCGTT